GTTTTATCCGATTTTGGGTCTAAAAAACATCAAATTCTTAAATATCTGTCTGGACCAGAAAATGTTTGACATTTATTACTTGAAAAATGACTGACTGATCATAAAAATAGTTGCTGATTATTTCCTCTGTCTATCTTAAATTACCAATTATTTCTCTTGTTGCAAATGAATACATTTCAGGCAAGCTGTAACTAGACTAACTAGCTGTAACCTCAAGTTCGGTGTCATTAGTCTCAACAGTTGATTAAAAACTGTTGAAGAGTCTGGTGAATGAAAGGTAGCGTGTGTGCCACTGTGCCCGATAATGGACGAGGTCAATCCCCGGTTTGAATCTGAAAGAATAACACTGTGGATGTTATATCACACCGGCCATGTTGAGCCATGAAGCACAGGCTCATGTGCAGCTCGTTGGTGAAGGGCTTGAAACATTTCAGTGTGTCTCATTCACACACAGATTCACATCCGAAAAGGCTTTGCCAATTATCCTGCAGCATGCTCGCCAATTACGCAGAGATTGATATTTATTTTCTTCAGCTGTGGTAAATTTCTAATGAATATTAATGCTGGTATTCTTTTATTTTGCCAGTTGTGGGTTGGTTTGTTAGTAATTCAGATGAATTTGGAAGAGAAAACATAAACATGTTTGACCTTGTGTGGCTGCTGTGATGGAGTAGGCCCGCTCTATCAGCCATGTGCAGCTGTCGGTTAGTAAATATGATGAACAAGCACTTACTCACACGTACTAAACTTGAATACATAAAAGCTATGATAGTACAAACGTAAACTACAATGCTGGACACCTTTTTTTTTTTTTTAAAGGTCTGCCATCAGCAATTAGCACATAGTATGTGTTTTCGACAGACTGTGTTGCGTGTTTCATGTCAACGCATGAGGACGTCACGACATCACAAAAGCATCTCTTCAGTCACTTTTCCACCCTTTTGATCCCGTCCACCAATCACCTCAGGCTCTGACCTGCTTCTACCTCAGTCACAGATGGAAACAGCAGCAGAACAGAGTGGCATTGGAGGGAATAAAACAGGCATGACTACTTTCTCTTTGCTCTTTCAGGGAATCTGTCTCGCTCTTGAGAAGCGAGTGCTGCAAACGCCAGCCAGTAATAGGCCTCAGAGGAGACATTTTATCCCCCAGCCTAGTCTGAATTAGGTGGAACAATCCGTTCTTGTATGGTTTGGTTCTACCTGCACCAAGATGTGTCCCAATGCAGCTCACATTTCAATTAGACTACTGTTCAGGTCTCTGAAGTTAGGCTGCTCATAGTTATCTGAAATGTTCTCGTCCATCAGAGAGTCATGCAGACCTCTCCATTTCAGCTCAACTGGTTTTTATGGGGCTGGACTAAAAAAGACTCTTGCCAAAGTATATGTATACAACTTCTCTACAAGCTGCTCTCATACCAGCACATGCCTTAGCTCTGGACAATGTGTCTCTCATTGTCAGTCACACGGCCAGGCTACGGCTACAGAACATAGGAACTCCTGTATCTAACCCCCCCACCTCCCCCTCCATCTGTTTCACGCCCCATCCCTCCCTCTCTGACCACTTGTCACCCTCATTACAGCAGTAAGAAAGAGGAAAGAGCCACTGCTCGCACAACAGCAGACAGTAAGGGAGGGAGCGTGGGGGTGGGGGGGGGTGGAGACGTCCTTTAGGCAACAGCCGACCACTCAGGAGAAACCTTTACTGTCCACCAGTGTGTTGGCACGGCTTCCCAGGCTTGTCAGACTGATGGAGTGCTTAAACTGGGACAAGAGGAGAGGTGCAGCATTTGCTGCCTGGCTAAAGTAAATATTATGGCGCGCTGGCCCAGGAGTTGTACTGAGACTCTGCTCTGTCACAGAGAGAGGTAAAGACACGCTGGACACACTGCAGCACACAGCAGTGATTCTCCACCACAGTGTCGTGGAGC